GCGCCCCTAGAGGACAGAGTGGAACTGCCCCACATGTGGCAGCTCCCCACACTTCCAAGTGCTCTGAAAGCGGAGATGCTTTCAGAAAAGGCCAGGAGCAAAAGGAAGCAATTTGTCAGGACGTGTGTAAACTCCCTCTTAGGATCATAATGGCGCAGTCCTTCATGGCTGCAGAAAGAGCTAACTTAAACAGGACTCTCAGACATGCCATGTTTCATCAAACGCTCGGCAGAGCATCTTAAGATCACTGCGAAGCACTGACCTCCCCCATGGAAACCAAGTCCCCCCTTCACCTTGCATCATTCGTCACAGGAGGGATGTTGAGAAGCTTAGTGTCACTGAAAATAAACATCCAGAGATCCCTCGCCCAGGGTGGACAGTCGGGCCTGACCAGCAGCTCGAGGTTGCCGTCCCTGTCGATGAACGAGATGATCCTGGCCAGCAGGGGGGTCACTGCGGTCTGCACCCGCTTCCAGAGGGTGTGCCTGCAGCAGGGAGAGAGGGCGGCCCGTCACAGGACGACCAGCGCAGGTTCCGCTGGACCGCGACACCTCACGCCTCCCCACAGCGTCACAGAACACATCGGCATCTAATTCCTACACCACGCCTGCGGCGGTAAATCGACATGTTTATCGTTTTGAAGAACTAGAAGCGACACTCCCAGGATGAGAACATCTAGGCTGGAGGCAGAGCTGGATGGGAACTTAATCCTGACCTGATAAACTAGTGAGCTGACTTCGAAGGTCAAGCAGCATTTGCTTTATGTTATATGCCACTATTCCCCAGAACAGGTCATCCTCTGACACAGGAAAAGGACAGCAGTGACCAGACTTACTTGGAAAAAAGATGTCACTATAAGAGAGAAAGCAGCCGTGGCCAGACAGCCACCCGACAGGAGACCCCAGGAGATCCGAGATCAAGCCAGACATGCAGCACACGTCACCCTGCCCGCGGCTGTCATGGCCGTTCACTCGCCCCGACCTCGTGTGGTCAACTGGCTGAACTTACCATAGGCTGCAGTTAATGTTTATATCTAACAAGAAAACTTCAATTCGCAATTCTTACGGCAAAGCACAAGAAATCTATCACGGGGTAATTCACACTGGGAAGGAAAGTGCACTGTCCATACAGAAAAGAATGAAAGGAAACACCTCCTTCAAGCAGGGCATCAGAAACACGGAGAGAATTCAGAAACGTCCGCTGAGAACAGAGCATGCCCAACGGTCAGCAGGGTCACCTGAGCCGAGGAGAAGCCGTGAACTGGAAAGAGGGCGGAACAGCAAAGGTGAGCGGTGCAGAGGGCTGGGGGATGGCCTGGCCGGGCCAGGCAGTCGGCTGAACCAGGAGAGGCGCTGGGAAGCAGGAGAGAGCACGGCACACAGAGTGTACCCGTGCGGGCAGCAGACCCACGCCCAAGAAACGCCGGGACAGTGACAGAGCTCGTCACTGGAGCCTTAAGCAGAGCAGGTTCCTAGCAGGTCAGTGACACCTGAGACAGTGTCCCTGAGGAAGACGAGAGGGAGCAGCTCCGCCCACCAGATACAGACTCCGCTCTGACGTGGCCAGCGCCACTGGGTGAGGCAAGCGGTCCCGGAGCCCAGCCACAGCAGTGCCGTGCAAAGCAGGCCCAAGGCAGCTTGGAACCCCGGGCCGATTAGAAGTTCAGCACTGAAGGGAAGGCAGTGAAAGAGGAGAGTGACGACACGAAGCTTTAACACTATGAATAAAACCTACACCCAACGGAACGAAGAGATTCCCAGGTTCACACCTGATCTTATAAAATCCCCTCAGAAGAAGGGGATTTTCTGGTAACCAGGAAAGAAGTTACTGGTAACCACAGAACAGAAAGAAGCAGAACAAGCCCTGACACAGCAAAACTGGCACAACAACCCGCACTCTCCACTAAGTGGTGCTGACCACACGAGAGGCCTGTGCCCGAAGCCGGCCCAGCTCGCAGTGGGAGGTGGGCCTGGAAGGCCTCCCAGGAAGGCAACTTCCTTTAGGGCAAGGAGACATGGCGTCAGAGTGATGGAGTCACCGGACGAAGAGGAGACTGCCCCCCAGGGACGGGCGTACCCCACGAGGCCCTCAGAGTGGGCCCTTCTTCCTCGTCAAGGGTGAATACTGAAAAGGACCACTGGGGAGAGCCATGACAAGAACGGACATATGCACACCCGTGTTCATTGCAGCACTATTCACAACAGCCAAAAGATGGAAACACCCTGGGTGTCCCTCACCTGAGGAATGGATAACCAAACCACGGTACATACACACAACGGAATACTATGCAACACTAAAGAATAATGTAGAATCTGCAAAACACCACATAACGTGGATGAATTTGGAGGACATTATGCTGAGTGAAATAACTCAATCACAAAAGGACAAATATTGTATTAGTCTGTTATTGTAAAAGTCAAGGAAATGTTTATCTATGGAAGGAAATTTCCTTTTTTGGTTACCGGGGGGGGAGGGGAGGGGAGGGAACACTGTTAGATAGATAGAGATAAGTATTGATTTGGGTGAAGAGAAGGGCAATGTACCAAACTGAGTGATCAATATGGTGGCACTGAGGAAGAGAAAGACATAGAGAGGTACATGGGAGGTACAGACAACAAAGATGAACCCTTTTGCACATACAGTACTGCATTGTCAGTGAAGGCAAACATGGGTATATGGGTGTATAGATGGGTGGACAAGCTGAACTAGTAGGTATGTCTATGAAGCGGGGAGTGTACCCGAGACCATGTATAGGGTTGGCAGACAATGGTCCTATAAGTTTATGTGTATGATCTGAATTCCCAGGTGTATACTAGAGCTGACAAGAGGCAAGGTGGTAGTCACTGCTTGGTCACAGCCAGCTACCCAGAGGGACCGAGTAGTTGAACCTATGGGCCTGGGACTATAGTCGCAGGGGACATCAAGCTCAATTGGCATAACATACTACACAAAACATTGTTCCACCTCCTACTTTGGCGAGTAGCGACTGGGATCTTAAAAGCTTGCAACCTGCCATCTAGATGCAATGATGGCTCTCTCCTCATCCAGGGCAAAGAAGAATGAAGAAAACAAAAAATTCATGGAACAATCAGTCCTAGTAACTGATATACCATCCAATCTATAGCCTATATGACTATGAGACCAGAAAAATAGATGGTGTCCGGCTACCAATGTCAACCACTTGGAAGGAGATCTATGTAGGAGATCCTGGATAGAGTGGGAGAACAACATGGAACAAAACTCAAAATCATTTGGAGAAAAAAAAAAAAGTGGGGGGGCAGAACCAGGTTTGCTGGTCTGATAGAGCCTGGTGGAACCACTGAGACTATGGGCCCTAGCTGCCTGTCAGATCTGGAACTGAACCCACACCTGTGGTTTCCAGCCAAACAAAAGACAGGTATATGAGCTAAACATTTACCTGAGGTAGATACATCCCTTGGAGAGAACAATCAGGGAGAAAGAAGGGCTGCTTATGCACAGGAAGACAGCTTAGGGGGCAGGAGTAAATGGAGGGAGGGATGGACACTGTGAAGAAGTAACTATGGGGAGGAAATGGGAAGGGAGCTGTTGCATTATGGTAAATTGTGGTCAATGTCATGAGACAAAGTGTATGTGAACTGCTGTATGGAAAGTGAATTTGCTCTGTAAACCTTCACCCAAATCACAATAAAAATAAATAAATAATTCTTTTAAGAAAAAGAAAAGGACCACTGCCATCACTGTCACATCACACCATGGGCCTGAGATCCATTCTCTTCCAGCCCTGCTGGCTCAGTGACCTAAAATAGCGTCTACATCAGTGGCTGATGACAAGCTGGTGAGTGTTTACCGTCCTACAAAACCCACAAACATCCTTTTATAAATATTTTTAAACATTTTTAAGACACACAAAAGAAAAAACAAGAACGTAGCAGGCTCACAGAAGGCCATCATCCTGATTCATCCTGCGTTCTTTCAAACAAACAAAACCAATGCTCTCTATCACTGAGCCTTCCAGAGGAGCCCGTCACCGCGCCTGCCAGGGTGGGGCAAGAGGCAGGAGCGACCCTGCTCTGTCGCCAAGTGGAAGTCACACTCTTCACAGGGACCCTCTGCCAGCACCTGGAGGCCACGCCCTTGTCTCCCTCTGCCGGCCCCCGGACACCACGCCCTTGTCTCCCTTGGTTACCCTCTGCCCTGGCCCCTGGAACCTGAACGTGCCCACCCCGTCCCACCCTGCCCTGGTACCTGAACGTGCCCATCCCTGTCCCGCTCTGCCCCGGCCCCAGTACCTGAACGTGCCCGTCCCTGTCCCGCTCTGTTCCGGCCCCGGTACCTGAACGTGCCCGTCCCTGTCCCGCTCTGCCCCGGCCCCGGTACCTGAACGTGCCCGCCCCGTCCTGGCCCCGGTACCTGAACGTGCCCGCCACTGTCCCGCTCGGTCCCAGCCTCGGTACCTGAACGTGCCCACCCCGTCCCACTCTGCCCCGGCCCCAGTACCTGAACGTGCCCGCCTCCTGGAGGGCATCCTGATTGGAGGCTTCCCGCACCACCCACTCTTCCAAATGGCACATGTTCTCCTCTTGCTTTTTCAACAGAACATAGAGGCGCTCCTTGGAAACCCGCAAGAATGAAGCTGTAAGGGGCAGAAGAGACCGCCAGTCAACAGACTTCGTGGGCACAGAGTCGTGGGCTTGGAGCCGTGGGCTCAGAAATGTACTCGGACCCCCTCCATCCGTGAGGAGTCAATCCCAGAGCAAACCCCTGGAGACATTCCTAGGACCCTGCTGAATCAGCCACTCCTGGGAGCCACGGAGGCCTGAAAGGGCACCCCCACAACTAAGGATGGGAGGGGGTGAGGGCCATACCCTGAAGCCACGGAGGCCTGAAAGGGCACCCCCACAACTAAGGACGGGAGGGGTGGGGGCCGTACCCCTGGAGCCAGAGGCCTGAAAGGGCACCCCCACAACTAAGGACGGGAGGGGGTGGGGGCCGTACCCCTGGAGCCAGAGGCCTGAAAGGGCACCCCC